AGAGAGAGAGAGAGAGAGAGAGAGAGAGAGAGAGAGAGAGAGAGAGAGAGAGAGAGAGAGAGAGAGAGAGAGAGAGACATTGGCCTTTGGTGACAGATGATTGTCAAAGGAAGGGAGTCCTTACATCATATAAGGAAAAAAACAGAAGGGATGACAAAGAGGGTAGAGCAGAGTGTGAAAAGTGATGAGAGGACAGAAATAGATGCTCTGTGTCTGTGTGAGAGAGTATCGGAGGAGACTCCAGCTGTGTGTTTATCCTGCACCAGGGAAGACTGTCGAGCCAGCTGAGATGACGGAGCAGACGATGGGCTGCGTAAACACACACTCAAAAAAAAAGGTGCGTGGCGTTCCTGTTCAGGGGTGCGTCTGCATTTCTGAGTTACCCATGATTCATGCTGAATAGATGCACCACCGCACATCTGTCTCGAGGAGAGGGTGAATTTACGCCAGCAGCGATTTTTAGACTTTAATGCGTTTTGCCTTCTCCTGGTGAAAATAGGGGCACGCAGCAAAGTCAGCATTCACCTCCATACAACTGTGTGACCTTTTTTGTGAAGTATAAAATAACCACACGCACACACACACATTCAGCCTCATTTTAACAGCGTGTTCTTTGCAGGATTTCACCTCAGAGCAACTTACAGTAAACCGACAGTTGCAGTGGTATTAGGTGGTCAGTTAACCTGGAGCATCCTGGGCAGCAGTTTCCACAACAAGAACAAGAGGTTATGGTGAGACCTGGATACCCCACCCCCCTCTAAGCCACCATCTGGCTGTCTTACATAACTGAGGAGCGGACTGTAACATGGTACTGCAAACTGGCAGACTAGATTTTGCGAACTTTAATTCAGACACTGGTGGTGTTGAAATGGATCTAAGTTATTAAGTTAGTATAAGACAATTCAGAAAGCACAACCCTAATACTGTTCTCAGCACTAGTTCCAGCCCTGAATTGTATAATGTTTGGCAGCAGAGTCCCCGATGTATGGATGCTTTGATTCTGGAGAGTTTGGAAATAGCACAATTAAGAAACCCGTTTACAGTAGTTTGCCAAAACAATCTTAAAGTAAGAATATGTAGCTTCTTAAAGGTGAATTAACTGGTCTGGTATGACCTGTAGCTTGTGGCGGCCATTGTCAGCACTGATGCCCTTGTTTTCACCTGCTAGCACCGTTAGCTGTTAGCTGCCAGCCGCCGCCACGTGGAAGCAATCTCTCAATCATAGATATTGTCTGAATTTCTAATTTAGTACCTTTAATATTTTTAAGTTTTATTTAAAAAAAATCAAAACAGTAAAACAGGAAGTAGACAAGCCATGTTTATGGACTGGTGACATGCTCTTTCAACCAGGCACACTGTGCTGCTGTGTACGTCTACTACTTAACCTGCTACTCCACTATCATGGCTGTGATCCATGACAGCCAGGTGTTCTCCTGAGAGCTTGTGAAGAGATTAAAGCCTCCATCGGTCTCTCAGCCTGCTAATCACCGGTTCAGCCTCATTCTACATTCTACGGGCTGAAACCAAGGCCTCCAATAGAGCAGCGGTGGACCTATCACAGGCAGGGTAGGAGTGCTTCTGTCCTTCCAATAGTCACTGGGAAAAACAGCTATTATAAGTGTAGTGCAAGCCCGCCACCTAGTGCTGGTAAAAGAAAGTGTCTAAAGGGATGTGATCAGGAATCAGTATGAATTGTTTGAATGCATTCAGATTGGCTGTGTGATCCTCTTGCATTTAAATAGATTACTGGGTGTTTGTTTTCTGTTATTTTGTATTGAATGGACATTTGAACACATATATAAAAGCGACATATTATGAGGCTGAGCCACGGATGAAAGTTTTACTTACTTTACTTAAAAAGGTTTTTTTTAACATATTTATGGAACGGATAATAAAGCTGGTTTAGTGTTTTTGCCTTTGGTTGGTTTGATGCTTTTACTGGCGAGTTCACTGTGGTGCTGCGAGGTTTAAGTCAAAGACAAACTTCTATAAAGCTTCAGCTTTAAACCTGAAGACTAGCTGTAGGCTATATCATTGATGCAGACAAATGAAACATTACAAGCAGATGAAGCTGGCCCACAAAAGTTGCTTTAATTTGACTGTTAGAAATGCGTAAGGCCAGAGATGCCGCAGAAGTACAAGATGGTGTGTGTGTACCGCTAACTTGGAAGACAGAAAGTCCCCGTCAAGTTAAAGACACGCGTATGCAGATGAGAGGGCGGACAGACCTGTGGAGGAGGGCGAGACTCTCCATCACGCAGTGGGGCGATCGCTCATTGACTTCACTTTGTCCTGCGTTAGCCCTAAACTGATTGTGTCAGGGTCTGTGGACAGGCTGCAGGCTTTCTACTTTAAATAAAAACGTCCTGAAGCAACCCCCCCCACAGACAGTGCATAGCTGAGTAAGGCCCCCCCACAACACAAATTCATATAATTTCAAAACAACAAACCCAAGCACATTTCATGTTCCATTAT